CCCTCAAGGATTGAACTCACAACCCTGGGTTTAGCAGGCCTATGCTCAAATCACGGAGTTATCCCTCCCCCAAGTTGACAGGTACTTAGTTAGACCTTTAAGTTAAGTGTTAGATTGGTTGTTTAGGAGTTAGAGTCCTGGCTGGGACTTCGCCTTAAGGCCAGGCATACACCGTTCCCCAGGCTTTAAGCCATGTTCATCATGCAGCCGGCCAATGCCCATTAGTGACCCCTATGAGAGCTGTTTAAAGTGTTTGGGGGAGTCCACAGAAAGGATAAGTGCAGATCTGCAGAAACTTTCGCCCTCAAACTCATGCATTTCCCTAGATGTCAGAAGGGCGCTAGCCTACATTGAAAGCATCAAGCCATTCCACAAGTTGACACAATTCTTCATCGCGGTGGCCGACAGGATGAAAGGTCGTCCAGTGTCCACTCAAAGAATTTCTTCTTGGATCACTGTCTGTTTTCGCTGCTGCTACAATCAGGCGAAGGTGCCACCTCCGGCGATTGTCACTGCCCACTCAACCAGGGCGCAAGTCTCTTCGGCAGCTTTCCTAGCCCAAGTGCCTATCCCAGGACATCTGTAGAGTAGCCACCTGGTCATCTGTCCACACGTTCACATCCCATGACACACTTACCCAGCAGGCCCAGGACAATGCTGGCTTCGATAGAGCAGTACTGCAAGCCGCTGAACTGTGAACTCAGAGCCCGCCTCCGAGGATACTGCTTGTGAGTCACCTAGAATGGAATCTACATGAGCAACCACTCAAAAAAGAAAAAACCTGTTACCTACTTTTTCATAACTGTTCTTCAAAATGTGTTTTCTCATGTCCATTCCATTACCTGCCCCTCTGTCAGAGTTGCTGGCAAGAAAGAACTGAGAGGGCATAGGGTTGGCAATGTCTAATATACCAGCACATGAGCGAGGCACTCAAGAAGATGCTACAACCAACCCTACAGCTACCACTAAGACAAAAATCTCCCATGGGTGCGCACCCACCTAGAATGGAATGAACATTAGCAAGCAATCATGGAGCAATGGAGAACAAGGAGCAATGGTCTCAAGTTGCAGCGGGGGAGGTCTAGGTTGGATATTAGGAAACACTATTTCACCAGGAGGGTGGTGAAGCACTGGAATGCTTTACCTAGGGAGGTGGTGGAATCTCCTTCCTTGGAGGTTTTTAAGGCCCAGCTTGACGAAGCCCTGGCTGGGATGATTGAGTTGGGGATTGGTCCTGCTTTGAGCAGGGGGTTGGACTAGATGACCTCCTGAGGTCCCTTCCAACCCTGATATTCTATGATCTCGAAAAACAACCGTTACGAAAAGGTAGGTATGCCATTTTCTATGCCATTTTTGATGCTGGTGTGCTGTGATCATTGCCTATCATACTGACCAAATATTCTCATTGTTCCTTGTGCTTCCCTGTCTGTATCCATTTGTTATCCCTTGTCTTACACTTACATTGTAATCTCTTTAGGGCAGGGATTGTTTTTTGTTGTGTGCATATCCACCACCTGACACAATGGAGTCCTGGGTGCTGCAGTAATACAAATATGCAGCTTACACACCTTGTGACAATGCAGTTCTGGTGGAACCCAACTGAGAGTGCCAACTCAGGACAAATTGCTAAAACAGGGCAGTTACAGCCCAAGGCTGGGGTTTTTCCACCTCTTAGGCAAACCAAACCAGCCAGACTAGGAGGACTTCGGTCTCATCCCACTGGCTAACCGCAAGCCTCACAAGCAATCTCCTTAGGCACTCCAGTTTCCCAGTATTACCACCAGTGCCACTCGTTATGGGGATGAATGGTTATGAAAACCAATACCCCAGTAAAAGAAAAAGGTTCTCCTGATCCCAAAGGACCAAGCCCCAGACCCAGGTCAATATACAAGTCAGGTCTTACCCACAAATCACGCTGCTGCCACTCCTTTAGAATCTAAAATCTAAAGGTTTATTCATAAAAGGAAAAAGATAGAGATGAGAGTTAGAATTGGTTA